TGCGAAGCAGAACGGGCAGGAAACCGTCGAAGGCTGCACATCGATCACGACGAAGTGCGGGTGAATTTCGAGCACCACCAAGAACCTGAGCAGGACGACGATTACGAACCAACATCCACTCACCTCCTTCATTCGCTCGAGCCTCTTGCCCAGGATGCGCCTGCTTCCATCTGCTCTTGGCTCTGGCGCGGTTGGCCGGCAACTTCAACTTTGCCCCTCGTGCCTTAGCTGTCCACTTGCCAAGGTCGCGCTGATGCACGCGTTTTTTTTCGCACGCTGTGACGTAATCGTGCGAACTGGATGTATGACAAAGATACTCCCATTCTTTGTCCCCCATGCAAGTAATATTTCCAAAGAACAGCCTGGTCGACTTCGTCGCTGACGATGTCGATGCCGCAGCACAAGTAGCACTGCAGCTCCCCGGTGTCGAAGTAGAAGCACCAGTGCCAGAAGTACTGCTGCTGTCCCCAATGTTCGTCTCCATGGACGATTTCCCCATCGGAGCCGTCACAGCCCCTAGTCACAGATCCTCGCCATCGGCATCGGGAACCTTGACGTCGTCGCCCTTGCCGCCGCCCTGGCCGCGCTCCACGGCCTGCGCCGCGTCGAACCTGGCCCTGGAGATGGCGGCTGCAGCCTGCTTGACCTGCTCCCCAGAAGGCGTTGGGGCCGTGCCAGCGGCCCCCGTGGGCGCGGCAACCGCGTGCGAGGAGCTCGCAGCCGCGGCAGCGGCTGCAACGCCAGGAGGCGCCGAAGCCGCACCCTCGGGGCCTCCAGCTGCCGCGGCATGAGGTGCGCCCACACCTCCGTCGCCTGCAGCTGCTCCCCCGCCGTCTCCTGCTGTGCGCCTCTTCTTGCTCATGCGCTACAGACCTCCTTCTCGAACTTGTCGACCTTCTCGAGGAGGGCACGTACCTGGACGTCCTTGGACGCGAAGGCCGATCGGTACTGATCCAATTCCTTCTTCAACCCTCTCAGCTGAACCTTATCCGACCCCTCGCATTCCCAGCTCTCGAACTTGTCGAACATGTCCGAGTCGATGCGCAGCTCGAAGGCAGGCGCTTGTCCACCCGCGGTGGCAGCAGCCTGCGTAGCCTGCACCCCCTCGGCCTTTGCCACCGCCTCGGCCGCGCGCTTCTTGTGGATCTCTGCGCGCGCCAAGTCCTCGGCTGCCTTCTGCTCTTTGCTCTCTGCCACTTGCAACTGCTTCCTCAAGCGGAGGACCTGCGTTACCGTCTGCTCGTGGCGGTGAGACGCCGCGCGCCAGGCTCCATCGGCCTTGCGCACCGTCTCGGCCTCAGAAACATGCTCCTCCTGCTGCACCTTGAGCTGCAAACGCTCCTGCTGGGCCGCCAGCGCCGACTTCAGCACCGCGTCGTCCGACGCCGCAGCGGCCTCCTGCAACAGCGCCTGCACCGTGTCATACTGCTTGGCCTTGGAGGCGTTCTCGCCCTTGCCACCGCGTTTGGGGCTGCGAGGCCGGCCTCCACGAGCTTGGCCTCGCCCAGCCGCGGTGCCATCGTCCTGCAGCTCGATCTCCTCCACGTGCTCGTCGAAGGTGACGCTGGGCGCCCTCGGCACGTAGAGGCGTACTTGCTGCACGTCGGGCATTTGCCCCCTGATGAGGACAACCTGTCATTGTACCCACATGTCTTGAAATGTGCGCACTTGCTTCACGGTCGAGAGGGCCTCCCCCGACTGTTGCTGCGGGCGGGGCGCGCCACATCTGTTGTCATCCCTGCTTTCGTTAGCCGAACGAGTGTGGGCAAGACTCGCAAGGCTATCCCTCAAGCACCCCGATGGAGGTACAGGGATCGGGCTCTGGCAAAATGCTCGAGCCCAATTGGCTTGAGAGGGGGGAGGGGAGGAGGAAGAGGAGGAGGAGGGGGAGAAGGAGGAGGAAGATGAGGCTGAGGAGGAAGAGGAGGAGTAGGAGGGGGAGGAGGAGGCAGAAGTGGCTCGGGCCTGCGGAGGCCGAAAGGCCAAGTGTAGTTCCAGGGATTGTTGAGCCAGATTGACATTCTGAGTATGAAAACACAGGCGCACGCTAAACGTTGTTTGACTGGCACTCTGAACGTTTTTGTTTGCCTCTTCGGACGTGCACGCTAAACGCCGATAGAAACGCGTATATAATGCACGCGTTGTTTGACGTGTTCTCTATACGACCCCGTTTAGAATGTATTTCAAAGTCTCCATGTGCATTCTATCTGTGGCTACTTGACCTTAGAAGGCGCGGGTCCTCTCTGCAGATGTAGGGCCAGCGCCTCCTGAGAAGCAGCTTCCTTTTCAGACGCCGCCCCCCTCCTATGACGCCCATGTGCGCGCAGCCATGGAGACGGGGACGACTGCGGCGTCGAGAGCGAAAGAGACCAATAGTAAGCAGGACCACCAAGAAAGTAAACAGGACCATCGAGAAAGTAAACAGGACCTCCGAAAAAGTAAACAGGACCACCCCAGAAGTGGACAGGACCTCCGAGAAAGTAGACCGGACCAACCAAAACGGGGGGGTCCGTCGGGGCCTCGGCCAGCCGCAAGGCTGCGGCTTTTGCCCCGCTGGAGCGCGCGCTCCTCTCCGAGGCAAGTTGCGCCGGAGCAGGCCCGGCAGTCCCACGGGGGGTCCTTCGGCCACCCGTGGGGCTGCCGGGGTTGTGGAGGCCATCTCTCTGGTTGGCCCAGGGGCGGCTCCAGCGAAAAGAGGGTGGTGCAGTAGAGTTGTAAGGTTTTGCAGCAGGGTCGGGGCGCGCAATTAATCCCAGTGCGAAAATGTATTGCTGAACTTTCGCGCGCAATACATTGGTTGCAGTACAATGCAATTCAATATTCCGGCGCAGTGCATGTGCAATGCATTTGCCCTGGATCTATTGCACCACCCTGATTCAGCTGGACCCCTTTTTGGGTCAACCGAAATCTCGCGGGAGCCGATTCCCGAGGATCCGCCCAGATGCCCAGATTCTTTATATGCTTCTTTCGGGGTAATTTTTCTACTGGCGTTCTTCAGGGTTCCCCAGGATCTCGCAGGGTTCTCCAGGATTCCTGGGATTTCCTACGCTACCTCAAGATTCCTCGGCGGCCCTTACGATTCCTCAGTGCTCCTGAGGATTCAGAATCATGCTTGAGGATTTCTCAGGATGTCTCAGGGTTCTTCAGGATTCCTCTGGATTTCTCAGGGCCCATCACAATTCGTAGGATTCCTGCGGATATTTCTTGATCCATCGAGATCCTCAAGGATTCCTCAGAGGTCATTGGAATGCCTCACGTTTCCTCATGGTTCCTCAGGATCCCTCAGGATTCCTCAGGGTTCCTGAGGATGCCTGAGGATTCTTCTGGATTCCAGATTTCTCCGGTTTCCTGGGGGTTCCTCAGCCTTCGTCGGGATTCCTCAGGGTCCCTCAGAGTTTCCCGGGATTCTGTAGGGTCCCTCCGAATTTCGGAGGATTCGAGGATTCTCGACGATTCTTCAGATTTCTTTCGGGGTTCCTCCGGATTCCTCCAGATTCGCAACGCTCCCTAAACCCGCATGGTTCCTGAAGAAAAAAATCGCAGGGTTCCTCCGACTTCCTTTGGATTCGTTAGGGGTCGGCAGGATCTCTCAGGGTTCTTCAGGATTCCTCAGGGATGTTCAGTGTTTCTAAGAACTCGCGTGGATTCCTGAGTTTTCTTGAGGTCTCCTCAGGGCCCCGCAGAATGTGTTCGGATCCCGCAGTGATCCTTTGGATTCCTCAGGAGATCTCATGGTTGCTCAGGGTTCGCCAGATTCGTAAGGATCCATGAAGGTCCCGCAGGATTGTTCTGAATTTGCTTAGTTTCCTCAGCATCATCATCGTTGAGGGTCCCTAAGGGTTTCTCAGGCATCGCTAGGCATCCCCAGGGATTCCTCAGGATCGTTCAGCGTTCCTCAGGGTCGCCCAGGATCTCTCAGGACGTCGTTTGGGTTTTGAGTTTCCCGACGGATTTCTTATGATTCCCCATGCCTCCTACGGGTTCCGAAGGAATTCTCAGGGTTCCTCAGGTTGCCCATGATTCCTCCGGACTCAGGATTCCTGGTGCTTCCGCAGGGTCCTTCAGGATTCCTTCGGATTGTTCCGTACTCCTTGGGAGTATCCTGGATTCTTCAGGATCCAAATGTACATATATCTGTGATATATATATATATATATATAGACATACGTATACACAATGTTGGTGGACGGTGCGCAAGTTATCATTACTTTCTTTCGAGGGCTCACTTGGGGGCCACAGTATGCTCGTCTTAGAGTCGCCTGTTCGGCTCGTAGAGTCACAGTACATCGAATGACTTATTGCTTGGAATCCACGCTGGCTAACATCATTTTAGGATCCCTAAGATACTTCAGGGTTCTGGGAGGATCCCGAAGAATCCAAAGAGAATGTCGAACACTTTTGGAGGACTCCTGAACAGGAGCCTCGTTGAAGACGGCACTTGTTACAGCCACAGGACGTGTAGGCACAAAACGAGATGAGTAAACGACGTAGGTTTGTTGGGTTGCGGGGGGGTGGGGGGGGCGGGGGAGCAGGTCGCTAACCCCGTGGTCGCCCCTGGAGGACAGCAAGGTCAGGTGCGCGTATGTGGACGGGCCACAAGGTACAATGTCATCCCTGTTGTTGCCGTTGTCTTGACGAACACAAGATAAAAAAAAACAACAACAACAAAAAACGCCCGCGGCGGGCTCGGTGTTCAACGTGTCAACACGTGGGCCACCGCGGCGGGCTCCTTCGAACGTGCGTGCGAGCCCCGCAGACTGCCGAGCACTCCCCTCCCCGCTGTGCTGACCGTCCCTGGCCGGCCCGTGTCCCTCTCCCCTCGGCCGTCGCCTTGGCCTCCTCCCCCCCCCCCCCTCTTGCATGCTGGCACGATTCGCCTGCCGCCTGCCCCGTTTCGCTCCTCGCGCCAGCGCGGCGACTCCGCCTAGCCGCCGACGAACTGAAGTGTTGACCGGCCCTTTTCTCATCCCTTGCCGTGCGGCGCGGCGCCCGCCCCCCAGGGCCAGGGCCAGCGAGGAGGCCGAGGTCCGCTCCCTGGCGGGGCGCGTGGCCGGCATGGCGGAGAGCGTCGTGCGCCAGGCGGGCCCGGCGCGCCAAGGGGCAGGGCGGCCGTGGAAGATCCTTGGCGTCCTCGCGCCGCGGAGAAATCACGACGCAAGGCTGAAGTCGGGCGTGCCCCTCCACAGGAGGAAAATTCAAAGACAGTCAAGAAATACCTCGGGGGATGGTTTGTTCAGAAGGTTCGATCATTTTTTGGGAGAGGTCCAGGGGGAGAGGTCCAGCGCAGATCCAAGACATCCCGAATCGATCCTTGCTAGCAGTCTATCAGAGCCGGCGCCTGACGCGGGCGTTGGCGACAGGTGCGCCGCCGCCGCCGCCGCCGACGTCGTCGTCGTCGTTGTTGTTTTCGTCGTCGCCGTCGCCGTCGCGTTGCCGTCGCCGTCGCCGTCGCCGTTGCCGTCGCCGTCACTGTCGCCATCGCCGTCGCCGTCGCCGTCGCCGTCGCCTTCGCCGCCGTCGTCGTCGTCGTCGTCGTCGGCGTCGTCGACATCGTCGTCGTCGCCCTCGTTGTCATCGGGAGGCGCTGTGGACACCCAGTGCCCAATGATTTTCTGAGGGGGGGATCCAGACCCCCCGCTCATTCATTATCCCGAGGGGGCGGGATTCTCGACCCCCCCTCTGTATTTTCCCCGGGGGTGAATCCCTTGGTTTTTGAGCACCTTTGGCGGAGTCTTGCAGGTGGAGGAGAGGGGCTCCCGTTTCTGATTCCTTTAGTGGAAAAATTTCCAGGCCAAGGACAGTGGATCGCGCCCCCTCAAACATAGCAGAACCCCATAGCACAACATATCATATCATAAATACCATCATGGCACTGCGCAACAACGAACCAGGAGATGGTAGCACAGAGCACACAGCACCACATCATAACACAGCACATAACGCAGAGCATATCATGACGAAACACCAGAGATAATATTCGAGGGCAGTGGCAACCGACGATTTGGCCCGACCGCTGCGCTGGACAAGACAACATCCAGGCCCCGTGCGCATCGTTCCTGTAGGCGCGCGCACTTTCGGGAACAAGCGCCGAAGGTTCTGGTGATAATCGCTGGAAGCAAAAAACAGCGATTACATTGTTTCAAATTCTTTCTGGTTTTGGGAGGCCTCCAGACCCGGCAGTGGGGATCCTCTGCAGAGGCCTCCAGACCCGGCAGTGTCTGTCGCCTGCATGGTCGCCAGAGGAGGGCGGTATTGCCGATACGTCGCCCCCAGGAGCCTCGGTCCTTTCCTGGGCTTTGCCTTCCACCACGAGCGGAGACGGCGCCAGACGCCGGAAGCGGCGACAGGTGTGGTACTGTTCTTCGCGACGTGGGAAGCCTGGGCCTTCTGACCCGTCTTCTGATCACCCGCGGGGGCGCGGAGGCAGTCGCACATCGCGGGGGCCATGCGTGAAGGTGGGTGAGCCAGTTCCCGAAGGATTGCAAAAACAAACCCTTGAACGAAGGATTGCAAAAAAACCTAGGTTTTTTTGCAATCCTTCGTCCTAGGGTTTTTTTTGCAATCCTTCGAAGGGTTTTTTTGCAATCCTTCGGTTTTTTTACAATCCTTCGTTCTGTCCTGGGCGCTGTTGCCAGGGACTTCCTTTGCTTGTCTGCTTCCGACTGCTCCTGGCCTCGCATCGCCAGCTCCGTGTCGCCGCTGCCCGACTCTGTGCCCCCCCGCTCCCGTCTCGTCACCTGCCTCGGGGGTTCTGTTTTCGGGAACTGCCCGGCAGCCCACCAGACAAGTCGACGGACAAAAAAAAAAAATGTGTACCGGGTCACTCGACATTGGCAGTCGAGTGTATCTCTGCAGTCACCAGTCGGTTTCGCTCGTCGACGTGGGTTTCGCCAGACATATCCGGTTGTTTCTGGGACGTCGATCCGCTACCCCGCTGGAATCCACTCGGACGGCGGAGTCGTGCGCCCGTGTGGTGCCCCTGGCAGCCTTCACTGACGTGCGCTTTTGCGAACCCTCGATCATAGCAAGAGGCAAAAGGGTTACCGCCAACCAAACTACCCCAACCCAGCTCGAAGGCCCCGATTTGCCCTCCATTTCCAGTGGGGGGCGGGGGCGGGGAACATTGAGAAAAAAAACTCGCAGGCCCGCGCGGAGTTCTCGGATCGGCGCTGCACCTCCTTCCTTGGCGCGCGGAGCGCGCCAGGGGCGGCGCCGGAGGCGTCGCCAGGGGGGTCCAGCGCGGATGCGAGAAATCCGCGCGCACTTCCGAGTTATTATGTCTATGTCATTCTTCGTCCCCCTAATCCTGAGCCGATCTCATCATGACGTCGTTCTCGCCGTAATTCTGGTCCAAGCACTGGCTGGGTGTGGCCTTCGGGCTGGCGCTTCCTGTGCGGGCCGCCGCTGGTTGCCCTCTGGGAGGGTCGGGGGTTCGCAGAGAGGGGGTTATCCCAAGGTGGGGTTAGGGAACAGACCCAGCTGTACGTTCACATGTCATTCTTTCACGGGCCGTTTTGAGCGATGTTCCATGAAACGCTGGTCGTTGAGAGTAGGTATATCTGAATTCCCAGATTCCAATCTACGCTAGGCGCCTTCCTAATTCAAGAATCGAGTGTTGTTTCATCCTCCCTCCTCTTCAGGGGGCGGGCTTAAGCCGAAGCTACTTCAACGCCTTCCGACTCCACGTTCTACTCATTTCTTCCGACCGGCGGGAGGGCCCGAACCCGATCTATTATATCAGCCTTCCTATTTGTCATGTTTGTACCTACTTCTTCCGACCAGCGTGTAACCCCACCTCTGCTCGGCGGCGAGCGCAGGGGGGAAGCGAGAATGGGCGGGCCTTCTCAGACTGCTCGGAAGTCCCTCGGCCTTCTGAGAAGTTTTCTAAGCCTTCCCCTAAACGCAGAAAATGTCTCAGAAGGCGCGAGGGCTTCTGAGAAGTCCCGCCGCCTTCTGAGAAGGCCTCCTCCTCATTTCCCCCCCCTCGCTCGCTGCCAATCTGCCCCTGCCCCACCCTTCCGTTGCTCTTCGCGAGGGGCGCAATCAGCGCGGCTGGCCCGTCCACATGGCGCGCCCCGCGGCCAGAGCGCGGCTCCCCGGCAGCGCCCCTCAGGGCGGCCGCTCGGGGTCGAGCGAGCGCTGGCGGTCGACCGTGGCGAGGGCGCAGGTCACCACGAGGGTGCTTCGGTCGGTATCGTTTAACCGATCCCCATCCCAATCCCCTTCGAGACCCCCACCAATGTACCACGCCAGTTGGGAATACACCCATCGAAACCCGATGGGAACGACCTACATCTAGGAGGGTAAAGCGGCCAGTGGGGCACAGGCCACGCCGCTGGGGATGTGGGTCGGATAAACGATGCTCATTCGGTAGCAAACCATGGGAGCCTTGTGTACCCTCGCAATTCTGTCTTTAGCGTCGACTCGCGTCGATTGGCGTCTATCGATGAGGCAGCGCCGATTCAGCGTCGGCTAGCGTCGATTGGCATAGATTTAGCGTCGGTTAGCGTCGATGTAGCATCGACTAGCGTCGATTCGCAAGAGCCGACAAGCTGGTACAGGAGGCTCCCATGAGTTGCCACCGAGGGATGCTATTGTTACCCTCCCCAACGATCCGACGCGCTAAAAAGTTGGAGCGGCGGGATTTGGGCAGTGGGCCCTCGCCAGGTTTCGGGAGCGTGAGAAATGATTCGTGACGGAATGCCGACCCCAGGGAAGTGGTCCGAATTTCCGGGCCCACGCGTCTAAACATAGGAGCAGCCGGATTTCTAGGTCGAGATTGTTTTTTTCCAACCATCTTGTGGTGTTGGGTCCTCGTTTTGAAGAGCTAGCGCCCCGTGTTGCTCACCTCACCTCATCCACCTCCTCCCCCCTCTCCTCCCTTTTGCCAAATCGTCTGTGCCCTCCGCATGTCTCTGTTTCGGCACACCCCTCGCACGCGAGCTCCACCGAAGGCCCCAGCAGTAGCGCCCGCATGGCACCACCGCGCCCAATTCGGCACACCCCTCACACGTTTCGTGGCCCCACGGGGAGCTCCAAAGATGGCCCCAACCCTCTTCGGCACACCCCTCACACGTTTCGTGGCCCAAAGGAGCTCCACCCAAGGCCCCAGTGGCAGCGCCCGCATGGCACCACCGCATCCGTTTCAACACACCCCTCACACGTTTCGTGGCACCATAGGGAGCTCCACCAAAGTCCCCAGTGGCAGTGCCCGCGCGCCGCGCGGGTGTCTCTCTGACTCTTCAATTGACGCCCTCCTCCCCTCAGCACCCGCGCGCCGCGCAGCACTCGGCTCTGGCGCGGCAAGGAAAACAGTGGAAACAGGTGAGGGAGGCAGGGGACCAACCGTTTCGGCACATCCCTCACACGTTTCTTGGCCCCCAGAAGAGCTCATTCGCAAGCGGTCGGTATCCACATCGCGGTACTCACAACTGCGCATGGTTTGGTCGTTCGCCCGGATAAGTATCACCCTCTGGGCCATACAGTCGGACCGAAGTATAAGATCGAGGTCGTTTCGGGGAGGGTACGTTGATGTTCTTCGTGCTTGTCGGATGTTCTCGAGCATCCTGGGGGAGGGTTCCTTCGAGTGATCTTGTGGTTTGGAGTGGTTTTGCCAGCGGAGGGTTTCATGTTCTTGAAGGATGTTCTTCTGTCCGCCTGTTCCCTCTGGGCCATCACTACCGCGACTTATTCTCCCCCCCATAAGGTATCCCCTCCCAGTGCGTCCCCGGCACTCCGGCACCACAATGGGGGCGGCACCACAATGGGGGCGGGGGAGGGGCCCTGCCCCACCCCCTCCCCCTTTCCTCCCCCATAACGTTTGCAATCGCCGCGAATACAGGTATCTTGGCGAAGGACCCAGCCATATGCATGTGTGAGTATCGTCGTTGCGAACGTCGCCTTCAGTGGATCTCCTCATGGGGCCTTGCATGGAGCTGCTTGCGGGCTCACGAAGCGTGGCAAACATGTGAGAGGATGGGTATGGAAACGCATGCGAACGGTGGCACTGGGCCATTGGGTCGAACTCTCTGTGGGGCCATGAACCATGTGAGGGGTGTACTGAAATGGGGGGGGAACCGCATGCACACGTCGCCACTGGAGCCTTCGATAAAGCTCCCCACGGGGGCACTAAACGGGGAAGGGGTGTGCTGTAATGGGTGTCGGGGACGCATGCGGAGGGTACCGCTTAAGCTTTCGGCAAAGCTCCTCGTGGGGCCACGAAACGTGTGATGGGTTGACCGACATGGGTGGCGGGGACGCATGCGGGCGGCTCCATTTGGGCCTTGGGTGGGGCTTCCTATGGGGCCACGAAGCGTGTGAGGGGTGTACCTCCGAGGCGGGAATCAATACATGACCACCGCCGGGAGGGTCAGTTTTCGGAGCCGCGGCAGGCGATGGATACGGACATACTCGGGCCCCCGGGGGCCGAAATACACCATAAAGGGCTTCGCCCCTTGCCGCTGGCCCCCTCTGACGGATAATGGGCAATACAAGGAACGAATTCATGAGGCCTTGGCGCCGCCGTAAAGCAGCGTCGGGACTTCACGCGAAGACGATGAGTAATCGGCAAGACACATTGAGAGTCTGATGATATTGTTGAATTCGGTGTTGCATTTCGAGGGTTTATGGCTCCAGAGACGCGAACAGCGTGTACATTACAAAGGTTTATGGCTTCGGGGTCGCACATATAGCGTAATATACGCAGGTGTATTGCTTAGGACACGCGATCATTGCGTATGTTACTAAGATGTATGGCTTCGGACACGCGATCACCGCGTATTTTACGAGGGTTTATGGTTTCAAACGTTGCGTCATGCACGCAGGTGTATGGCTTCCGAGACTCGAGCATTGTGTAATGTACGAGGGTGTATGGCCTCGGGGACGCGAACATTGCATGTTTTACAAACGTTCGTGGTCTCGGGGACGCACGCATTGCGTAATTTACAAGGGTTGATGGCTTCGGGGACACGAGTATGATTATTTTGCAAGAGGTTGGCTTCAGAACGCGAATATTGTATAATCACTAGGGTTTATGGCCTCGGGGACGCGAACATTGTGTAATTTACGAGGGTTTATGGTCTCGGGTGCGCGAATTCCAATTATTGTAGTGGCCTCCAGCCAGTGCCGCCGATTCGTGGCGCTCCTGATGCGTGTGGGAATGGACGATGACGACGACAACGGACGACCAACCGTCGACGAGCGGGATCATTACTACGACGACTGACGAACAGGTTAACGACGACGATTGACGACGACGACGATTATGACAACGACGACGACGACTGACGACGACGACGACGACCACCGACGACCGACGACCGACGACCGACGACCGACGACCGACGACCGACGATGATGGTGATGGTGATGGTGATGGTGATGGTGATGGTGATGGTGGTGATGATGATGATGATGATGATGTTGATGATGATGATGATGAAGAGGAAGATAATGATGATGATGATGATGATGATGATGATGATGATGATGATGATGGTGATGATGATGATGATGTTGACGGTTGTGGTGGTGATGGTGTTGATGTTGATAATGACGATGACGATGATGTTGATGTTGATGATGATGACGATGACGATGACGATGATGATGATGATGATGATGATGATGATGATGATGATGATGATGATGATGATGACGATGACGATGATGATGACGATGACGATGACGATGACGATGACGATGACGATGATGGTGTTGGTGTTGGTGATGGTGAGGGTGAGGGTGAGGGTGATGCTGATGGTGGTGGTGATGGTGATGTGGGTTTGGAAATAGGAGGAGGAGGAGGAGGAGGAGGAGGAGGAGGAGGAGGAGGAGGAGGAGGAGGAGGACGAGGAGGACGAGGAGGGAGGACGAGGACGAGGAGGACGAGGAGGTAGAGGAGGTAGAGGAGGAGAAGGGAGGAGGAGGAGGAGGAAAAGAAACAGGAAGAGGAGGAGGAGGAGGAGGAGGAGGAGGAGGAGGAGGAGAGGGGGAGGTGCTGGCACCGGGGAGGGGGGGCCGGCACCCAGGAGTGAGCGCCGGCACGGGGGGGGATGTCGGTGCGGGTTGGGGGTGCCGGCACCAGGGGGGGGGTGTCACTGGGGGGGGGCGGCACGCCGGCAGTGGAAGGGGGGTGCTGGCACCAGGGCCCGGGGGTGTGCCGGCACAGGGAGGAGGAGGTGCGAGCGAGCATCGGGGGGCGGGTGCCGACATCGGGGGCGGGTGCCAGCACGGGGGGGGTCAAGTGTCGGATGCGAGGGACAGGGGGTGCCATCACCGGGGAGGGGGTGACGGTATCGGGGGGGGGCATCGGGGGGGGGGCCGAGCACAGGTACGGGCACCGGGGAGGGGGCCTGGAGGAGGGGAAGGTGCGAGCACCAGTGGGCGGGTGCCGACACCGGGGGGGCGGGTGCCAGCACGGGGGGGGTAAGTGTCGGAACCGAGGGACGGGGGGGTGCCAGCACCGGGGGAGGTGGGTGCTGGCATCGGGGGAGGGGCATCGGGCCCGGGAGGGGGTGCCGAGTACAGGTGCGGGCACGGGGGGGGGGGTGGGGGGGGGGCAACACGGGGGGGGGGCTGGCGTCAAGGGGGAGGGTGCCGAGCTCTGAATGCATCGGAAATGAGGTCGGATGAGGCCCCCCGGCAGAGCGAAGCTTGAGCGAGCTCAAGCCCACGCTCTCAGAAACTCACACGCCAGATCGGCGGATTCTTTTCGTGTCCCACGCTCCCCCCAGAAATTCTGATACCCCTCCCGGGAGGTGCTAATTAATTAGGGTGCTTTTCGGCTCCCCCCCCCTCCCGCGGTCTACAACAAGGAACAATAAGCAACAAGAAACATAACTGTAACAGTGGAAGCTGGAACATGGAAACGGGAACTGGCGCAGGGAGCAGCAAACCCTCCGCCTACAGCCTGGTGGCCCCACAAGGGGGCCGGCGGATATCCATATCCACCGCCCGCTGGGGCACCAGGACGTCGGTTCCCATGCGGTGGATATGGATAAATCCCCGCCTCGGTGTACCGAAATTGGTGGCGGGGACGCATGCGGGCGGCACCACTGGGCCGTGGGTGGAACTCCCCATGCGGCCACGACATGTGTGAGGGGTGTGCCGAGATGGATGGCTGGGACGCATGCGGACGGAACTCTTGATGGGGCCACGACACGTGCGAGGGGTGTACCGAAATGGGTGGCGGTGACGCATGCGAGCGGTACCACTTGGGCCTTGGGTGGAGCTCCCTGTGGGGCGACGGAACGTGTGAGGGGTGTGCCGAAATTGATGGCGGGGACGCATGCGGGCGGCATCGTTTACCGTGTGGGCCTTGGGTGGAGCTCCTTATGGGACCACGAAACGTGGGAGGGGTGTGCCGAAACCGAAATCGGTGGCCGGGACGCATGCGCGCGGCGCCATTTGGGCCTTGGGTGGGGCTTCCTATGGGGCCACGAAGCGTGTGAGGGGTGTACCGACATAGGTGGCGGGGACGCATGCGGGCGGCACCATTGGGCCGTGGGTGGAACTCCCTATGCGGCCACGACACGTGTGAGGGGTGTGCCGAGGTGGGCGGCGGAGACGCACGCGGGCAGCATCATTTGGGCCTTCGGTTGAGACCCCCATGGGCGAACGGCACCATTTGGGCCTTGGGTGGGCCTCCCTATGGGGCCACGAAGCGTGTCAGAGGTGTGCCAGAATCGGCGGCGGGGACGCATGCGGGCGGTACCATGTCGGCCTTGGGTGGAGCTCCCCATGGGGCCACGAAAAGTGTGACGTGTGTGCCAAAACGGATGGCAATCGTGCATTGTGTGGAGCTCCCCATGCGGCCACGAAACGTGTGAGGGGTGTGCCGAAATGGGTGGCTGGGACGCATGCAAGCGGCAGTGCTTGGGCCTTGGGTGGAGCTCCCTATGGGGCCACGAAACGTGTGAGGGGTGTGCCGAAAGCGTAATTTCGACGCGTGCGGGCAACACCACTTGGGCCTTGGCTGGAGCTCCCCATGGGGCGACGAAGCGTGTGAGGGGTGCGCCAAATTTGTTGACTGGTGCGGAGGGCAGAGGCAGGGATGGCAGGTGGGAGGAGTGGGAGCAGGAGCAGGAGGAGGAGGAGGAGGAGGAGGAGGAGGAGGAGGAGGAGGAGGAGGAGGGGGAGAGGGAAGAGGGGAGGAGAGGAGAGCGACGCGGGGCGCTGTCTCTTCAAAACGAGGGCCCAACACAGGATGGTTGGGAAAACGTCTTTTCCCCCACCAAATCACCCCCACGCAACCCGAAACTTCCGAAGGTTCCGAGCTGCCCTCCATTTCTATTGGGTGGGGTCAAGGAACAATGGGACTGCAGCTGGAATTCGCACGCCCTCCACACCCGAAATTTGGGGCTTCGGGTTGGGTTGGGTTGGGAACCGGCTCGGTGGCGAAATCCGAGCTCTACATTCGCCGATCAACGATCAGGCAATTCGGACGGCGGCGAGGGTAGGGTTCGGGATTCGTCGAACACGTGGCGAAATCAGAATTGTACCCCCGGCTCCCATCGATTCAGGAGAATCGATGGGTAGAGCTCGGATGTCGCAACCTGCGGGCGGGTTGGAGCAGTCTGGGGGTCGGGTCAGCAGGAAGGACGGGCAGGTCCGAGGTTCTGGGTTCGGGTTCTGGATTCTGGGTTCTGGCCTCTGGGCATTGCTTTCGGGCCCTGTGACTGTGACAGGCGGATCTGGATGAAACATTGCACCAGATGGACCCTGGAGGTATCCAGGGACCGATTTTGAGCTGATTTGGCTTCATCCCCCCTTCCTGACCGATCTTCTGGGACCCCAGCTACTTCAGACCCCCCAGCCGCCTCCAACAGGCGGGGGCCAACCTCGACCTGAGCTCGATCGAGCGCGCCCAGCAGCGCGAGCTGTGCTTCCGGAAGTGCAAGGCTCCGGCGGCAGACGATGGAACCTTTGCGGCAGAACACAGTCAACCCGCATAGTAAGGATGGGCAGCCTTCCCCAGGGTACCCTTGCATCCTTGCCCCCTCGGTCCGTCCTTGGCCAGTTTCGTTGGCCGCGCCCCGCTCGAAACGCTTCGACAGGGGCGTCCAAGGCCCCTGCGTCCTTATCGCGCGTCCTTATGATACAGGTCGGCTGTACCCCAAGCAGCTCTGCACAGCTGCGCGGCTGGCGGTCCGCCAGGGGGAGCCACGATGGGGGGGCCAACTGCGGGGGGCCGCGAGGGGCCGCCGATGTTGGGGGCCCGAGCTGCGGGGGCCGCGATGATCATGGAGGATCCAAGGACCCCTAGCCCTGGTGACATAGTGAAGGCGTGGCTTCATTTTGGGCCCGTTTTTCGTGCATCGGGGGTCATAGTTCCGGGCGTTTTGGTTTGGTACATCTGCATGCAGAAAACACCTTTTTATCCTTAATGTTGGGCCTCCTAACTCAGGTCCCCTCCCAAACGGTTAGGGACTCTTGCTTTGTGATCAGATGAGCCACCGGATTCGGGGACCTGGCATCCATCCGCATGCGTTCGAATACTTATGTACACCCCCTTGGCGTCGCCTCCAGTGCCGCCCCTTGCGCGTGGTGTGCTGGAGGGGCCAGGGAGGGGGCCCAGCGCCGATCCAAGAATTTCCAGGCGGGCCTCCGAAAGCTTGTGTCTGCACTCGAGATCCAAGTTCGGGTCAGTCGAGCCCTTCCAGGCAATGACCAGGAGGCCCAAGTACTGACCTGACTCACCGTGGCCCTGAGGCGGCAGTTCCATTGCTGACTGGTCAGGTCAGTGCTCTGGCGACCCTGGTGGCACTCAAGCAGCTCCAGTGGAACCCAGCGCTAACCTGGCTGTTTCTGTCCCCTACCATGTCTCTCCTACAAAGGCGGCGAAGGGGATGGCGTTCCGCACTCGGGCCTTGGTTGCGGAGACGTTGCTGCAGATGGCTCAGGCCACCGCCGGCAGTGACCACCAGGCTGCGCGCGACCGGTGTGCGAAGGCGGCGGCGGCCTCCAGGAAGCGGCACGACCGCCGCCACGAGCTGCTGGAGAAGGTGCAGCAGACCTGCAGGCGCAGCCTCGGTGCGGGTCACTCTGTGGAGAGGGGCCGCAGCCCGAGCCCATGCTCCCTGCACTCGGAGCCCCTCCTGCGGGGGGACACGAGCTCCGACGAGAGCGCCATCCGAGAGGCAGGGGCTCTCGTCGGCGCCAGCAACGTCGGCCTGATGTGGAACTTTGGCCGCGCGGCACCCCAGAGCGACAGCGACAGCGACGGCAGCTCCTACTTCCCGCGCTACCAGGGCGGCCGCGGGGCGGCGGCCGCCCGCGGCGGTGGCGGCCCCACGTCGGTGGACGCGCTGCTGAGGATCTGATTTTCTTGTCATCTGGTGCGTAACGGTCACTATCCTGACCCCCCCAAAAAAAAACAAATCTTGGCGAAGGACTCAACCAGATGCAGTTGTGAGTACCGCAGTGGTGCGTATCTTCTTCGGTGGAGCTCCCTGTGGGGCCAAGAAACGTGTGAGGGGTGTGCCGAAATGGGTGGCGGGGGCGCATGTGATCACAGCCACTGGGGCCTTCGGTGAAGCTCCCTATGGGGCAACGAAATGCGTGAGGGGTATGCCGAAATTGGTGGCGGGACGCCTGTGATCACAGCCACTAGGGCTTAGATGGAGCTCCCTGTGGGCCCACGAAACGTGTGAGGAGTGTTCCGAAATGGATGGCGGAAACGCCTGTGGAGTTCCCTATGGGGCCATGCAACGTGTGAGGGATGTGCCGAAATGGGTGGCGGGGACGCCTGTGATCACAGCCACTGGGGCCTTCGGTGGAGCTCCCTATGGGGCCACGAAGCGTGTGAGGGGTGTGTCGAAATGGGTGGCGGGGACGCGTGTGAGCGCAGGCACTGGGACCTTCGGTGGAGCTCCTTAGGGGGCCACGACGCGCGTGAGGGGTGTGCCGAAATGGGTGGTGGGGACGCATGTGATCACAGCCAGTGGGGCCTTCGGTGGAGCTTCCTATGAGGTCACGCAACTTGTGAGGTGTGGGCCGACATGGGTGGTGGGGACGCCTGTGATCACAGCCAGTGGGGCCTGCGGTGGAGCTCCCTATTGGGCCACAAAGCGTGTGAGGGGTGTGTCGAAATTGGTGGCGGGGACGCTTGTGATCACAGACACTTGGGCCTTCGGTGGAGCTCCGTAATTGACCACGAAACGTGTGATGGATATGCCGAAATGGGTGGCGGGGACGCATGTGATCACAGCCACTGGGGCCTTCGGTTGAGCTCCCCATTGGAGCGACGAACGGCGTGAAGGTTGTGTCGAATGGGTGGCGGGGGCGCATCTGATCACAGACACTTGGGCCTTCGGTGGAGCTCCCGATGAGGCCACGAAGCAAGGTGTCTGTGTGTGTGCCGACATGGGTGGCGGGGAATCCTGTGATCACAGCCAGTGGGGCCTTCGGTGGAGCTCCCTATGGGGCCACGAAGCGTGTGAGGGGTGTGTCGAAATGGGTGGCGTGGACACATGTGATCACAGCCACTGGGGCCTTCGGTGGAGCTCCCCATTGGAGCGACGAACGGCGTGAAGGTTGTGCCGAATGGTTGGCGGGGACGCATCTGATCACAGCCACTGGGGCCTTCGCTGGAGCTCCCGATGGGGCCACGAAGCAAGGTGTGTGTGTGTGTGTGTGCCAGAATGGGTGGCGGGGACTCCTGATATCACAGCCAGTGGGGCCTTCGGTGGAGTCTCCTAAGGGGCCACGAACGGTGTGAGGGTGTGTCGAAATGGTTGGCGTGGACACATGTGATCACAGGCACTGGGACCTTCGGTGGAGCTCCTTAGGGGGCCACGAAGCTTGCGAGGGGTGTGCCGACATGGGTGGCGGGGACGCCTGTGATCACAGCCACTGGGTCCTCGGGTGGAGGTCGCTGTGGGGGTACGCAACGTGTGAGGGATGTGCCGAAATGTGTGGCGGGGACGCATGTGATCACAAACTCTTGGGCCTTCGGTGGAGCTTCCTATGGGGCCACGAAATGCGTGAGGGGTATGCTGAAATGGGTGGCGGGGACGCCACTGCTCACAGCCAGTGGGGCCTTCGGTGGAGTTCCCCATTGGGGCGACGAACGGTGTGAGGGGTATGCCGAAATGGGTGGCGGGGACGCCTGTGATCACAGCCACCAGGGCCTTAGATGGGGCTCCCTAAGGGCCCACGAAACGTGTGAGGAGTGTGCCGAACTGGGTGTTGAGGAAGCATGTGGTCACAGGCACTTGGGCCTTCGGTGGAGCTCCCTGTTGGACGACGAGGCGCTGTACTGTGCGCGCTGGCGCTGAATGGTGGACATGCGGAGGGCAGAGGCACGGTTGGGACCGTAGATGGACAAAACAGAAGAACCCTTCACACCGCGCCCCCCCTCCCCATTATTTCAAAGTTGGCCAAGCATTCGGCAGCACAGGCGTCAGAGGACAAGACATGCGGAACCCCTAGGGCCTCCGGGAGGCCGAAGCCAACTTACTTTGAATTTGGGGGAGGGCGGGCGAACGTTGGGTCGAAGACAAATGGGTTCCATGTTTTGTCTCCTTACCGGAGGAGGGGGGAGGAAGGAGGAGACCCGGGGCGCTATCTCTTCGAAACGGACCCAACACCACAGGATGGTTAGGTATGATAATGTATTAGACGATGTGGCAGAGCTTTACTCGCAAAGCACGCGCGGAGAGCTGGCAAAGCGTAGCGTCGGAAAGCGGTGTGTGGTCACAATTGGGAGGATGGGTATCCATCGGTCGTTGAAGGTAGGTATTTCTGGAGTGCCAGATTCCAACCTACTTTAAGCGCCGTCCTACTTCAGTGATCGAGTGGCTTCACCTGTCTATCTTCTTCAGGGGGCGGGCGGGCACCCATTCTTTTTCCAATGCCTTCCTATCTCACGTTTCTACCTACTTTTTTCCGATCGATGGGCATGTGCAAGCAGGACCATGTTTGACCATGTCTACCTCGGCTGAGTGAGCGGCGCCCCCGCGCCCACTCCCAGCCCCGCGCGCGGCCGCCCTCACGGGCCATCTGGGAGGCGCCGCGCCTCGCATCGCCAACCCCGCTCCCCCCCACCCCCCTCAGGTCACGGCCATGATCGTACGCAGGAGGGGGTCTGAGCCCCCCAAAAGTACTGAAACTTGAAGGTTTTCACGTATCGGGCCCTGGGAGGCGATACTCCTTCGACATTGTTTCGATGCTTTTTTGGGTGCTCGGAATTAGTTTTGGGATGTGGCTCGGAAGTACCTTCTCACATGTTGGTTCTATGGCGATCGCAGCGCACCCCCGCTCTGACGTGCCCCGCGCCGTCCGAGCGTTTTAGTTGCCCGGGGGCTCCCCCCTTTGGTGACGACCACTACCATAATTAGTTGTTTCCCATGGAAAAACACAGTCTCGAGGACGCTCAAGGCCGAGCCCGCGGACGACGTGGAGCGCGCTGCGAAGTTTGGCTTGTACGAGGCGTACTTTGCGGAGGTCGAGACCATACGGGGGATCTTGGTCAAGTTTCACGTGGAGAGCCGCCCGCTCCTGGACCAGCAGGTGGCCGCCTGGATGGACCACCAGATGCAGGATATTGATAGCAGGCGGAACATGGGCGTCTACGAGGGGCACGAGTGGCTCGTGTACCACATGATGCAGCAGGCTCACGTTAACAACTGCAGGATGGCGTCCAAGCTTGACCTCTGGGAGGAGATGATGGGCCTGTTTTCTACCACCACCACCACCACCACCACCGTAAGCTGGAGGGGGAGGGGGTCCTCCTCCTCCTCCACCTCCTCCACCTCCTCCTCCTCCTCGTCCTCCTCCTCCTCCCCCCCTCCAACTTATGGTGGTGGTGGTGGTGGTGCAAAACAAGTCCATCAGGAGAAGATCATCAGCCTCTGCGCGGGCGACCAGCCGCCCTGCCCCATCTGCCTGCAGGGCTACACCGACGACAGGCCCCCGCAGACGCTCGGGTGCTGCCACCAGTCCTGCAGGCAGTGCTGGAGCCGCTGGACCAATCTCACGCACGGCATGGGCAAGGCTCGCCAAGCGCGCTCCACTGTTCGCAAAGTGCCTACTCGCAAGCGTCCGAAAAACATATGTGCGTTTCGATGAGATTTATCGTCGATGCCCCGCGTCGGATCAAGGCCGTTTGCTAGTTACTTTGCGAGTAGCGGAACGCGCTCGTCTGAAGGCGGCATTTTGTCCGATCTGCCACCGCCAGGAGTTCCTGGGCTCCGTGGGCAGCCCTGCAAAGATGGAGGCGGTCAAGGCGATCTCGCCCCAGGTCAGGGGGCGGTCTCCACCGCCTTCCTTCGTCCGCCAGTACACGGAGTCGGCCGCACCAGCGAGCGACGTTACGGTGGAGGGACGAGCGCCACCACCACCGAGAGCTCTCTCGAAGTTGAGCCTGTGATTGCGAAGCTCGTGCTGCAGCGGGGCGGAGCGCTGTGCCGCAGACCCTTCAGGGAATCCCGGGGAGGGGGGGGTGTCCGAAGGGCTTAGGCGACCCGTCCTCCTCCTCCTCCTCCTCCTCCTCCTCCTCCTCCTCCTCCTCAATCTCCTCCATATCCTCCTCCCCCTCCCTCTTCTCCCCCTCCTCCTCCTCCTCCTCCTCCTCCACCTCCTCCTCTTCCTCGGGTCGCCTACGGCGGCCCCGGGGGAAACCGTGCAAATCCGATTGGGGGGGGAGGGACGAGGAGGAGCGTGGGCGGCCAAACTTTTTTGCCCGCCGGGAGGGGGCGGTTCAGGGCAGGGAGGGAAGGAGGGCGGGCCGCGGAGGGGAGGGGGGTGCGGGCGGGCTGACGCCAGACGCCCCTCCCCCCCCCGCGGCGCTGCAGTGGCCAGGGGCGCGGCCCCCGTGGGCGTGCCGCCAGGGGCGACCTTGCTGCGGCGGCCCGCTCGGCTCGTTCTTGCTCCCGGCAGCGGAGATGCGGTGGTTGGTTCGTCCGTGGTGCCGCTGCTCGAACTGCTGCGGGGCGCATCCGGGCGTAACCTGTGTATCATATGTGTATAGCACTGCGCTGCCTCACCAGGGGCACGGATACCCCTTCAAGGCTAGTTTTAGTAGAGGGTGCGTCTGGAGTCTCAGCAGCTGGTCCTCGTGCCCTCACAGATGTGCACGGTGTGGCGTCGAAGGCGATCTACATACACATGTACATACGACGCACACACATATGTATGCATGTGTGTATGTATACATGCATGCATGCATGTACGTACGCACATACGTATGTATGATGTATATGTGTTTGCCTGTCTGCCTGCCTGCCTGCCTGCCTGTCTGTCTGACTGACTGTCTGTCTGTATGTGTATGTGTTTGTGGTTGTGTATGTGTATGTGTATGTGTATGTGCATGTGTATGTGTATGTGTATGTGTATGGGAATGTGTATGCGTAGGTATGTACGCATGTATGCCATACATAAACATATACATATATGTATATATGTACGTATGTGTGTATATATGTATTTATGTATGTATGTATGTATGGATGGATGTATGTACGTACGTACGTACGTATGTACGTATGTATGTATGTATGTATGTATGTATGTATGTATGTATGTATGTATGTATGTGTGTATGTGTGTATGCATGCATGCAGTCATGCATGTATACATGCATGTATGTATGTATGCATGTATGCATGCATAGGTATGTATGTATGGATGTATGTATGTATGTATGTTTGTATGTATGTATGTATGAATGCATGTATATATGCATGTATGTATGTATGGATGTATGCATGTATGTATGTATGTGTATCCGTGTGCATGTATACATGCATGTATGCATGTATGTGTGTATGGGTGTGTATGTGTGTCTGTATGGATATACGTATGTCTGGATTTATGTATGTATGCATGTATGTATGTATATATGTGTGTATGTATGTATGAACTGATGGATGGACGTATGTAATGTAATGTAATGTATGCATGTGTGTATGTGTGTATGCATGCGTGCACGCATGCATGCCGGCATGCATGCATGAATGTATGTATGCATGTATGCATGTATGTGTGCATGTGTGCATGTGTGCATGTGTGTATGTGTGTATGTGCATGTGTATACGTGTATGTGCGTATGCTTGTATGTATGAATGTATGTAGGGATGCATGCATGCATGCATGCATACATGTGTATCTGTATATATATATATATATATATATATCGATCGGAGTCGACCAGGGAAGTGGGGGGGCGGGCCGGAGCCGTACTCCCCCATGGGGTATTGGGGGGGTCCCAGGGCTCCCGGGACTGCCCAGGCCCGAACCCGAACACGCCACGACACGCCAAGAGGGCTCTAAAGATTGCCAAGACAGCCCCAAGAGGCCCCGGACACGCCGAAGATGGCCTCAGGACGGCCGACGACGCTGCCAAAACGCCCCAAGAGCGCCTCCAGAGGCTCCTCTAAAGGGCCCCAGAAGCCGAAAACGTATTTTCCGATGGTTTTTCAAGCATGTTTGCGTTCTCGCATACTCCGCCTCCCCACGGTCCCAGACGGCGTCAGAGGCCCTTCAGATCGCTCCAAGACGGCCGCAGAGGCTCCCAAGAAAGCCCAGAGACGGCCCAGGAGGCTCCCCAGATAATTCAAGAGGGCCTCGAAAGCGCCCCAAGAGAGCCCCAAGAGCGACCCAAGAGGGCCCGAACAGCGCGAGTTTTCAAGGTCTCTGGCCCTTTGTGGGCCCCGGAAACGGCAGGGCCAATTTTTCATCGTTTCCAAAAAATGTCCCTTGAACATGAAAACGGCAAAACAACGGCGACCCGAAACGGCAAAAAAATGGCTCCAGGATTGGAACCGGAGCCGGAACCGGTCAAAAAACGGCGACGGAACCGGTAAAAAAACGGCGTCGGAACCGGCAACAAAACAGCAAAACGGAACCAGTAAAAACACGGCCTTGTCGTTTCTAGGGCCCACTGAGCTCCGGCCTCAGAGGCTCCTAGGACGCCCCCGGAGGCCATTAAGAGGCTCCCAAGAAGTACCGTGAGGGTCCCAAGAGGCCCCCGGAAGCCCCAATAGGCCCCCAAGGCCCCCCCCCCTGCGGGCCCCCAAGAGACCTCGGTAAATCGTATTTCCCAGTCAGTTTTCCGGGAACATGATTCCTTGGGCTTCCGCCCACCATCGTCTTGGGGCGGTTTTGCAGGCCTTTTGGGGCGGGGTCTCGCAGGCCCCTGGTCTTGGAGCGCCAGAGGGAAGAAAAAACCATAACGTAACAAGCATCGAAGACGTATTGGAAATCAAGATTTGTGCTCCAGCAGCGCTGCGTGAGCCTCCAAGAATTCCTCAATCAATGAAGCTTGGGTACGCTCCCATACAGGCCACTGGTGCCAAGAACACCACGAGAAGCGCCAAAATAACCCCAACAGACGAATCCAAGAGAGCACGTGAGGCCCCAAGATGGCCCTATTCTGTGCACTGATCAGTCAAGCACCTCAAGCGTAAGAGCGTTATTTTCGTGCTCCCAGAGGGTCCCGACGGTCCACGAGGGCTGATTCCGAAGACATCTCCAGTGTCGTTCCAATGCGGCTGCAAACACAATGGCACACACACGCACACTCACTCACTCACGCACTCACTCACACACAGTGTTTCTCCGCCGACCAGGAGATGTGACCGCAGCAAGCGATGGCAAGGGGCCCGAGCCACTGCCCGAATCCCGCCGGGCGTTGCAGCGGAGGACTGTGCACGGCGAGCACCGGCGCGCCAGGAGAAAGCGCACAACACGGCGGGTGGACAGGCGAGGCCCGACGCGCGCAGAGGTGGGAAGAGTAGCACACATGTGTGAACACCAAGGTCCTTGCCGGGTGAGAGCGGCATGAAAGGTATGCATGGCTGCAGGAGCTACCTTCGACCGCCCTGAGAGAATGTGTGTATAGATATGAGATCCGGGTGGGAGGAGGATCTAGGCGCGAGGATCGAGGTTCTGACCCCCTCTTGCTGCCTAGGGGCGCATCCAACACTGTCGGCCTCGCGGCGGCGCCCACCAGCGAGCCCCGGCCCTCGTCGGGGCTCAAGAGACAGGGGTCGGTGCGAACGGGGGTCCGCCAGAGCGGCAGATTCTGCAGGATCCTGCAGAGCCAGGGGCGCACTGACCCGGGCTCTGGGCGCAGGATCTGGCAGGATCGCGCAGGATCTGGAAGGAGGAAGGGACCATGAGGGTTAGAGGAAGGAGGAGGCATCGACGTGGCAGTGGTGTACAGTGGAAGCCCATGCCAAGAAACACCCTGCTTGCCCCCAGGGTGCCCTGGGCTTCTTGGGATTTCAAGGATTCTGCCACGGAGAGCGTGACGCTCCCGCACCATGGACGCCCTGGGGTCTCAGGGTCGGGTTTCTTTGTGGAAGGTCTCTTGTGGTCGAGCCCCTCCTGTAACATCGGCCAATGTGGAACGATCCAACGATCGCGGAGCCGCGGATCGTTCCACGGTAAAACGGCCCAGGGCAAATACTTGTGGCTGCGCGCTCCGAGTTGGTGGGCCTATGGCGACTCTTGCTGAATGGAAGGCTTCTCTGGGGTTTTCCGTGGATGTTTTCACTACGCCCCCTTAGTGGCAATAGTGACCCGAGTGGCGTGCGCCGCTCTTATATTGTATTTTCTTGGAGCCCACAGAGACGACTTGGCGGCGCGCACAGGGGGGTATGGAGGAGGGGCGAAGGTTTCTTCGAAGGGGCCGCCTCTTAGAGGTCGCCAACCCTACATCTACAGAGAAGGCCCACGCCTTCTAGGAAGCAGGGGTGTTTCTAAGGAGCCTTCCCCCCTCCCCCTGCCCCCCTCTGCGCGCCGCCAGACGGCGGCGGCGGTGCACGCCCAGGCCTCTGGCCCAGGCACGACGACCCCCGAGGGGGCGCGCGGCAGGCAGGCAGCCTCCCCGCGCGCGGCCCCGCGGACGGAGCGCCCGCGGGCAGCCCGCCGGCGCGCAGCGCCTGGCCGAGCCGTCCGCGGCGGCGGGCGGGGCGAGCCCGAGGGCCCTCGGCGCCGAGGGCCGGCGGCTCCAAGGGGGGCTCGGGGGCGGGGGGCAGCGAGCCTCCTCCAGACGGCGGCGAGCGAAGGGGGGAAGCGAGGAGCCTGAGGTCCTGGTGGGTCGCTTTTTTCGAGCCGGGCGTTTTCCGTTCCATTTCAGGCCCGGGGGCCCTCACAGATCGACTCGCGAACGACGCAGGAAGATGGGGTCCGGGGATCTGGTCGTGGTTTTCTGCGATGTTGCATTCTTTTTTGCAACGTCGGATCTCAGGGGAGGAGAAGACCTTCTCTCAGAGGGCGACGGGGCTGCTCAGGAGCCCTCGCGCCTTCTGAGAAGGCTTGGATTGTCTTCGGGGAGGACTTCGAAGACCTCTCAGGAGACCCGGGAGACTTCCGAACCTTCTGAGAAGACCTTCTCCTTCTCACTTCTCCCTTGGCCTCGCAGCCGATCCAGCCTCGACTTTTTAGTTTTCTTTGTGCCGCACCCTGCCCAGCCCAGTCAGATCCCAGCCCACGGGGCCGCGTGCAGCATACAGATAAGGTCGGATGTCGATTCATTCATAGAGGACCGGGGGTCGCGTTGCGTCGGCGGCGCCCCGGAGGGTGATTCGAGAAAAACCGGCCGCGGGCTCGGAAACTATTGTTATAGTCGTTCCCCCGGCCGTCCTCAGCTGATATAGAATGCCTGAATCATGTCAGGAGCCGACGTGGAACGAGCATTTGACGTAAAAGTTCGAAGCTGCCGCAGAATTGACGTTTGACGTACAATTTGAAGTCGGCGTCGAATGAATATGTTCATTTAGCGTAACATTTGACGACGGCGTGAAATGAGCATTCCACGCCATAGTCGAAGCCGACGTGTAATAGGCATATGTTTCAATCGTCTTCCTCCCGTTGAAAAATCATATAGTAATCAAAGAAAAGTGTTGCTTAATCGTTACCCTGGTCTTTTTTATTAATCGTCATCCTGCATTACAGAGAGCGCGCCCAGTGGACGGAAGCTTGTATACCGAATCCATGACCAGGTCTCTCGCCCACCTTGGTCATAGCTTATAGTTTTTTCAAGGCGGGCTCCAGGCTGTGGCAGCGAAGCGGCGGTGGAGCCGTGGGCGTGCCGGGGCCAGTGGACCCAGAAGAGTCAGTGCTCGAAGAGGGGACTCTGCGCCGAGGGCCACTGGCCTCAAAAGGGCTCCAGACAGCGACCCCCGCATGGTGATCGTTATCTGATTCATTGTTTTGCCGATCGGCGCGGGCCCTCGCACCCCCCCTTGGAGTAGATGTAAGCTGTTTTTGTTGGCGCGTGTTCCGAGCAGGTGGAGTCTCCCCCATAGGACGCACTGTTGCAAACAGTCGCATTGAGCATACGTCCAAAGCCAGACCCCCCCCTCCCCCCCTCATTCCGCCTGATGTCGAAACGCCGCCGAGTAAGGGAGTTCCTCACGCTTCGCGTATCCGCACCAGTCCGTACCCCCTCTGGCTCAAGCCCGTTGGCTCAAGCCGTTTCCCGGTGGTATTCCTCCATCTGGGGTCAGGGCTCGAGCACGCCCCCGGCCAGGTGTGGGCTCGCCCGACGCCGATGGAGCCCGCCGCGGCGTCGCCGGCGGCAGCGGGCGGCGGCCTGGGCGGCTCGCGTCGCGGTCGCCGCCCGCGCCGGCGCCGCCGGCGCTGGCGCCGCTGGCGCCGCCAGCGCTCCCCTCGTTTGCGGCCGCCGCGGGCGCCGCTGGCCCCGCCCTCCAGTGCCGCCGCGGCGCCTCCTGGCCTGCCCGCCTGCGCGGCGGCTGCCGCCGCTGGCGCTGCCGGCTGGCGCCGCCTGGGGCCTGCAGTGTCTCCTGCGCTGGGGCTGGCGCGGCCCCTGGCAGCTGGCGCCGCGGCGGCCTGCTGGCCGGCGCGGCCGCCGCCGGCGCCGCTGGCGCCGCCGCCGCCGCCGCTGGCGCCGCCGCTGGCCGCCGCCGCGGTGGCCGCGGCGTTCCGCCGCCGCCGAGGCCGTCGCTGCGGCCGGCCGCGGCGGCCCTGCCGCGACCGCCGCCGCGGTGGCGCGCGCGCAGCGCTGTCGCCAGCTGGCGCCGCCGCGACTGGCGCGGCGGCAGCCGCCGCCGCGGCCGCCGTGGTGGGCCACCGCGCCCAGCCTGACGGCCAGCCCGTCGGCCAGCCCCGTGAACCATGGCCAGACCAACTGCCGGCCCCGCGGCCAGCCCGACGCGGCGGCGGCGGCGGCTGGCGGCGCCGTGGCCGGCGCCACAGCCGCACACAGAGGTGCCTGGCAACTTAAATTAAGACTCGAAACTATGGTTCTTGAAATTAAGAAGCAGGTCCATATATTAAGACCATCTTAACATACGTTGACTTTGAACAGCGAACACTCGTTGCGAATGGGAAAGCTTAGGAAAACAAAAAAAAACCCTCACCTAACCTTTCCCCTGCCACCAGGATTAACATGAGAGAGGGGGAGAGGGGGGGAGGGAGAAAGAGAGATAGAGATAGAGAGCGACCTTCCCTCGTGATTTCTCGTTGCCTTCCCTGGTGTCCTATGGTTGGTGCCCTGCGATGACGACGACGACGACGACGACGAAGACGACGACGACGACGACGACGTGGCCTCCAGAGTGCCCCTGAAGCCCCGAGAAGCCTCCCAGAGCTCCCGACGACGTGGCCTCCCTCAGAGTGCCCCTGAAGCCTCGAGAAGCCTCCCAGAGCTCCCGACGACGTGGCCTCCCTCAGAGTGCCCCTGAAGCCCCGAGAAGCCTCCCAGAGCTCCCGTGACGTCCGCGGCCATACTGATTCAAGCGAGTGTTCGGGGTTCGGCTCGCTCTTCGAGGGACATGGCGGGCCGTGCTCCATGTCGGCCTGCTGCCAAGGAGGACCTCGTGGAGGTCTTGAAGAAGCACATCGCTAGTCCGAGCAGCGTACCGCCGTACGCCGAGACAGGAACAGGGGGGCTCGAGGTCAAAAAGATCGCTGTTCTGACGAACATGTGGCAGGAGCTGGACACAACGTTCGGCGGACTGTCCTTCAAGAAATCGGTTTTCCAGGAGGCGCTGAAGGATCTCGAGTTGGTTCTTGGAGATCAGCAGAAAGAGTGGGTGACAGTCACGTGGAACAGACTCAACAAGATGATGAGGCACATCTCGCAGGCGAGGCAGAGAGCGGCCCCGCCCGCCTGGGTTGTCCAGATGATGAACATGGAGGCCCAGCCCAACGGCGACGACGAGAACCCCGAGGAGGAAGACGAGGAGTTCTACGACGGCAGCTCGGACGATGACGGCAACGACGATGGGGATCCAGAAGGAGGTGCAGCTGCCGCTGACGGGGTTCAACCAGCAACGGAGTACGTGTACGGTTGGGACGCTGACGGTTGCAAAGCCTTCAGGGCGCCGCTCGCAGAGCCCAACAAGAAGGAGTACACGGACGACGTGGAGGTCAGCTCGAGCGACCCGAAGGGCTTCATCATCGCGAAGTTCTCCGAGGAAGACGTCAAGGAGATCGTGGACATGACGAACGAGGAGTTCGAGGTGAACACCAAGATCCGCTTCGAGAAGACGAAGGGGACGCTGTGGACAGGCAAACATATTGACACGGGCGCTCAAGTTACCATCCAGAAGAAGGTCGACAAGGCTATTGGCTTGGTCATTCTCGTCCACTCTGACAACATCATCGAGGATATGCCTGGCAAGAAGAAGCAGATCCTCCAGGTCATCATTGGGCACGACAGCACGCACGCATACCGCAAGGACGTGATGGCGAAGACGGTCGGGCTACTGCAGAATTACATCCTCGGGTTGATCGAGCGCGACTCGTTGACGGCGAAGCGTGACGAGTTCATGGCATCGCTCAGCCGCCCATCGAAAGCCCAGTCTAGCGGCGAGGCGGCGGCGGCGTCCAGCAGCAGTGCACCGGCGGCCTGGAAGACAGAAGCGTCAGCCTCCAGCGCGGCGAAGCCCAGCAAGAAGCCCAAGTCGTCTTCCCCGATCGGGGACAGCGACGACAAGGAGGTAGTGGTCAAGGTCGACTCCGACGGCGACAGCGACGACTCCGCGTGGCTGGAGCACCTCGAGAAGGTCAGGAGCCAGCGCGAGCAGGAGTCGATCAACCTTTGAGCTGGATATGTTGGAGCTTCGTCGCGCTTGCCTGTCAGACACGATTTCGGGGAGATGTGAGCATCTCTCAATGTGGGGGCGATCACAAAACATGAAAGTAAATCACAAACGAGTCAAGCCCCCCCAAAAAAAAACAACAACAACCACAACAACAACAGCATCGAGCAAGAAAAACGCCAATAAAAAAACAACACCTCAACATAACTACAGCCCCTGGATATAAACTAACATTCCATTCCGCAGCCATTTTGTCTTAAGTATATAGTTTGCGACTTGGGACCCAGCTACAGCTACCATCGACCAGCCTCGGAGAGGGCCAACATGTCCGCAGATGCTGCCCCGATGATGTCCGACATTCCATCGCCACCCCAAGAGCCCATGACAGCTGCTGACGCTTACGATTGGGACATGCTTCCAGATAAGTTGGCCAACCCTTCTCGCTATGAGATCATTGCTCAGAGCGAGGCGCTGCTAGACGTGTATAGCAAGCCCATGGTCAAGTATGAGGAAGACGGCGCAGATGCTGATACAGGCGTTGGCAGCACGTCGGCTGAGCACATGTCCGATGGCAAGTCCATGGAGGATGAAGTCGACATCGTCAGCATGCAGCTCTTGGCAGGAATGCCTCCAGTCGATCACGGCGACGTCGAGGCATCTGGGAAGGCTGGTGACAAAACGCTGCAGAGCATCTACCAGAACATAGTCGCCGCAGGGGTCCCTCCCGCTCCCGAGGACAGCAAGGAAGACGACGATGATGATGCATTGATCCGACAGTTCAAGGACGCGCTGCACGGCGGCGAGATCATGGCGAGGTCGGCGATGGGCCAGAAATTCGCCACTGCCATGAAGAACGACGAGAAACTCGAGAGGGACTACGGGAAGTGCAAGGGCAGGGATCGGCAGAGGAACTTCAAGAAGAAGTGGGTGAAGGACACGTTGAACAAGCTGATCGAGGAGAAGATTTCGGAGAAGGAGGAGGACTCGACCACTCGGGGCAAGCGCGGCAAATACAAACCGTTCAGCATCATCGTGCGCGACGAGGGGAACGATGAGTTGGCGTACAAGGCGGCACTGAACGTGGTGAAGAACTGCTTCGAACTCATGCAAGCGGGGAAAACGTTTGTTGGCGAACCGTTCATCAAGACCGACATGCAGAGCGAGAGGGTGAAGTTTCTTCACTTGGACGAGTACGTCGACAGCAACTTCAAGCGCACGAAGGGCACGGAAAAGATCTTCAAGAAGTCCGACACGGAGACCGCGGGGTCCGCAGCCGAGCCGACCACGGAGACCCCGAAGACGAAGCAGGGCCAGGAGACGCGCACCCCTCCAAAGGGCAAGGACCCGACTACGAATCCTGCTAAGAGGCAGCGCGGAGCTCAACCCGATGCTGGGCAGCCTCGCAAGGCGGCCAAGTTCTCCTTCACCAAGGCGTTGAAGGCATATGCGGATGCGTCCAAGGCTCAGCAAAGCTGCAAGGATGTCACGCACGCGATCTCCACGAAAGTGGATTGGCAGAAAGCTGTAGGAGATGGGATGGTCCAGGGCCTCCGCGAGGCAAGGGAGGCAGTGGAGACCTTCCTCGAGAGCTCTCCCTATTGGGCGAACGTCGGCCTGGCGGACAACTTCCAGAAGTGGGCCAAAACAAACCTGGAGGCGACCGACATCGTGAATGAGACCAACTGCTCGGGAGAGCTGGACTCCCTCGTCGCGAAGCTGGTCGAGGCAACCAACCGTTGCAAGAGGGTGTATGAGGCTTCCATCGCAGCCTGAGGTGCCACTGTTTACGTTAGTGGGAGCGCGATGCTGGCCAAGGGGATCGGTCGGCGTTGTTTGATCGAGTGCGGCAGGGCCCGCACTGAACAAGCATTCGAGCGATGCATCGTCGACCGACTTTTCAGGTCAAAGAGACAGGCCATGACGAAGAAAACTATCAAAACACAGATCGCATGGACCTCGACAACGAAAATCAACAACAACACAATCATATATCGAAATATCGCTACGTTCTCTGGAAATCACCCCGGTGTACGCCCCATGATGTCCAATGATCTTCAATGATTTTAATCCAGGGCGAAATTAGACCCATGACGTTTTCGCCTGAGACATCCCCTCAAAATGGCAATGATGTTCAATGATGTTGGTCACCATGACGTTCAATGATGTTCAATGATTGCGAAGGCCTGACGGCCGGTGCCGCCGACCCTGTTCGCAATGCGCAGCAAGAGATTACGAGGTTGCTCAAGGTCGGCTTGGCTGGGGCCCAGGGGAAGAGGAGTCCCAGGGGGGGGCGTCGTATCTGACCCGGGGGGCGGGTCGCTACCCCCCCCCCCCGTCCCGGCGGGGGAGGGATCAAAGGGAAGGGGCTTCCCTTCGACTCAATTACGAGGTTGCTCAAGGTCGGCTTGGCTGGAGCCCAGGGGAAGAGGAGTCCCAGGGGGGGGCGTCGTATCTGACCCGGGGGGGGGGTCGACACCCCCCCCCCCCTCCCGGCGGGGGAGGGATCAAAGGGAAGGGGCTTCCCTTCGACTCAATTACGAGGTTGCTCAAGGTCGGCTTGGCTGGAGCCCAGGGGAAGAGGAGTCCCAGGGGGGGGGCGTCGCATCTGACCCGGGGGGGGGTCGCTACCCCCCCCCCCTCCCGGCGGGGGAGGGATCAAAGGGAAGGGGCTTCCCTTCGACTCAATTACGAGGTTGCTCAAGGTCGGCTTGGCTGGAGCCCAGGGGAAGAGGAGTCCCAGGGGGGGGCGTCGTATCTGACCCGGGGGGGGGGTCGCTACCCCCCCCCCCTCCCGGCGGGGGAGGGATCAAAGGGAAGGGGCTTCCCTTCGACTCAATTACGAGGTTGCTCAAGGTCGGCTTGGCTGGAGCCCAGGGGAAGAGGAGTCCCAGGGGGGGGCGTCGTATCTGACCCGGGGGGGGGTCGCCCCCCCCCCCTCCCGGCGGGGGAGGGATCAAAGGGAAGGGGCTTCCCTTCGACTCAATTACGAGGTTGCTCAAGGTCGGCTTGGCTGGAGCCCAGGGGTTGCTCAAGGTCGGCTTGGCTGGGGCCCAGGGGAAGAGGAGTCCCAGGGGGGGGCGTCGTATCTGACCCGGGGGGGGGTCGACACCCCCCCCCCCCTCCCGGCGGGGGAGGGATCAAAGGGAAGGGGCTTCCCTTCGACTCAATTACGAGGTTGCTCAAGGTCGGCTTGGCTGGAGCCCAGGGGAAGAGAGCCCCAGGGGGGGGGCGTCGTATCTGCACCCGGGGGGGGGGGGCGGGGGGGGGGGGGGGGGGGGGGGGGGGGGGGGGGGGGGACCCGGGGGTGGTGTCGACACCCCCCCCCCCCTCCCGGCGGGGGAGGGATCAAAGGGAAGGGGCTTCCCTTCGACTCAATTACGAGGTTGCTCAAGGTCGGCTTGGCTGGAGCCCAGGGGAAGAGGAGTCCCAGGGGGGGGCGTCGTATCTGACCCGGGGGGGGGTCGCTACCCCCCCCCCTCCCGGCGGGGGAGGGATCAAAGGGAAGGGGCTTCCCTTCGACTCAACTACGAGGTTGCTCAAGGTCGGCTTGGCTGGAGCCCAGGGGAAGAGGTCTCCCAGGGGGGGGGGGGGGGGGGGGGGGGGGGGGGGGGGGGGGGTGGGAAAGGGAAGGACAGAGACGGAACGAGTACAAAGAATGACGGAGATGACGCTCAACGGAAAAGCCCCATCACACACGCCGACGGGTCGGGCGTAACCCCCCCCCCCCCTCCCGGCGGGAGGGATCAAAAGGAAGGGGCTTCCCTTCCGACTCAATAACGAGGCGCGCGAAGGCGGCTGGCTGGAGCCCCCTCCCAGGGAAGAAGGAGCCCCTCCAGGGTGGGGCGTCGAATCTGACCCGGGTGGGGGGGTCCGACGCCCCCCCCCCCCTCCCGGGCGAGGATGGATCAAAGTGAAGGGGTTCCCCTCGACCTCAATCACGAGGTTGCTCAAGGTCCGGCCGGGCTGGACCCAGGGGAGAGGGAAGTCGCGAAGTCCCAGGGGGGGCGTCGTATCTGACCCGGGGGGGGAGGGATCAAAGGGAAGGGGCTTCCCTTCGACTCAATTACGAGGTTGCTCAAGGTCGGCTTGGCTGGAGCCCAGGGGAAGAGGAGTCCCAGGGGGGGGCGTCGTATCTGACCCGGGGGGGGGGGTCGCTACCCCCCCCCTCCCGGCGGGGGAGGGATCAAAGGGAAGGGGCTTCCCTTCGACTCAATTACGAGGTTGCTCAAGGTCGGCTTGGCTGGAGCCCAGGGGAAGAGGAGTCCCAGGGGTGGGCGTCGTATCTGACCCGGGGGGGGGGGTCGCTACCCCCCCCCCCACCCGGCGGGGGAGGGATCAAAGGGAAGGGGCTTCCCTTCGACTCAATTACGAGGTTGCTCAAGGTCGGCTTGGCTGGAGCCCAGGGGTTGCTCAAGGTCGGCTGGCTGGAGCCCAGGGGAAGAGGGGTCCCAGGGGGGGCGTCGTATCTGACCCGGGGGGGGGGTCGCTACCCCCCCCCCTCCCGCGGGGAGGGATCAAAGGGAAGGGGCTTCCCTCGACTCAAAAACGAGGCTCAAGGTCGGCTTGGCTGGAGCCCAGGGGAAGAGGAGCCCCAGGGGGGGGCGTCGTATCTGACCCGGGGGGGGGGTCGACACCCCCCCCCCCCTCCCGGCGGGGGAGGGATCAAAGGGAAGGGGCTTCCCTTCGACTCAATTACGAGGTTGCTCAAGGTCGGCTTGGCTGGAGCCCAGGGGAAGAGGAGTCCCAGGGGGGGGCGTCGTATCTGACCCGGGGGGGGGGTCGACACCCCCCCCCCCCCTCCCGGCGGGGGAGGGATCAAAGGGAAGGGGCTTCCCTTCGACTCAATTACGAGGTTGCTCAAGGTCGGCTTGGCTGGAGCCCAGGGGAAGAGGAGTCCCAGGGGGGGGCGTCGTATCTGACCCGGGGGGGGGGGTCGCTACCCCCCCCCCCTCCCGGCGGGGGAGGGATCAAAGGGAAGGGGCTTCCCTTCGACTCGATTACGAGGTTGCTCAAGGTCGGCTTGGCTGGAGCCCAGGGGAAGAGGTCTCCCAGGGAAAGGGAAGGACAGAGACGACGAGTACAAAGAATGACGGAGATGACGGCTCGAACGGAAAAGCCTCTCACACACGCCGACAGGGTCGGCGGATTTTCAATGACGTTCGATGCTAGGCTGCCCCTCCCAGGTAAAGCAGAAAACTGTATAGGAGGAGGAGGGCGAGGGGGCGTAGTGGGAGGAAGGATTGGTTGGACAGACGTGGAGGATGATCAGAGTGAGCAGCATGATCAGCGGCAGGTGACACCAATTCGAATTCGCAAACAACGTCCTTCACACCCCCCCCCCGAAGGATCCTTAGGTGGGGGGGGGTGAAACTGATGTCCAAGGGGCGTGGGGAACCCATTGGGGGTCTCCCAGAACCTTACGCATCCATTCCTCCTTCGTTCCTCTCTTCCCCCCCCCCTGTTCCGTCGGTAACTGCTTGGGCTCGGATACCAGTTTCTCCATTGCAAGAAATGGCAACCTTACATAGTTGGGACAAGGCTGCCTGGTGGGATGCACCCAGGGGGCTGGGCGATGACGGTGAAGCTATTGATAGTTTTTGCCTTCAAGAATGTGGTGAGACATTGTTCGAGTATCTCGTGTCCTTGAAACAGACTGGTGCCACGGTGCATGCAAATACCATATGTGTGATTGCGTACTGGGCTACAAAGGCTGGTGCGAAAGGTGTTGAGGCTCTCTCGTTTGGTCCTGGTAAGCAGAGCGGTGCATACAATAAACACTTGGACTCGGTGCTCGGAACCCGACGCAAAGACGAACAATTCTACATGCTCGATGTCCCGTCCACTCGCAGAGCGGACCAATCCATGGTGACCTTGCATGTGCCGTTTTCTCCTCCTCACGTCTGCATTCAGAATGAGTTGAAAATGGGTCCGTCGCTCCAGGGTAAGCTCGAGGCTGCTATATCTAAGAAGGCCCTCCCTCCAGTATATTTCAGCCACGACGTTGTGCGCGCCTCGCCCGAAGGCGAACGCGCATGGCCGCTCGCAGTATACACTGACGGCTTCAGCTTCACACGAACAGATAGCTGCATTGCGCTGTGGGTGTATAAAATTATTTCAGGCGTGCGTCATGTTTGCGCTGTGATGCGGAAGTCTGATCTTTGTTCCTGCGGTTGCAGGGGATGGCATTCGGTTTACGTGCTCCAGTTGGCGATGCGTTGGAGCTTGATGTCGCTAGCTGCTGGAATTGCCCCAGCCAAAAGGCATGACGGAGCTGACTGGCGAGAGTCTGAGACACTGGAGGCAGCGTGCTCCAAATCAAAGTTGGAGAAGGCTGTCGTGGTGTGGTTGAAACATGATTGGGTGGAGTCTACGAAGATGTACGGTTTCCCATCCTTCGGAACAATCAAGCACCCTTGCCCAGTGTGCGAGTGTAATCATGATAATTGGGATACATTTGCTGGCTTATCCTGCACTGGCGGCGATATGCCATGGCAGCCGCATACCCTTGAAAAGTACGACGATGCTTGCAACCGCTGCGAGTTTTGGATACTTGTTACACAAGATAATTTCCCACGGCTCCGTGGATCGTTGGAGTACGACAGGACAAGTCACGGCAACAGAGGCCGTTGTCTCATGGTTGACCTTCCAGAACTCGGCCTCAAGAAAGGAGATCGCGTCGAGCCCCACCGTGACATGCCTAACATTTTGGACTTCGACGGGAAGGACAAAACGTTCTGGGCTCTCTTCTGGAGGCGGTCCGAAGAAACGTCGGT